ATGTCTATATGCTCTTGTTGATCGTCCTGTTAGCTAGTTAAGCACCATTTGCCCAGAAGGTGATATAATTTTTTCTGGAGGTCACCATCTACTGAAGACAAGCTTTAATGAATAAGAGACAGCTCCATACTAGACAAAATTATGTTCTGGAACTAATGAGTAAAATAATATGTTTAAGACTTATATTTACAGTACAATTTCTTTTTTCAGGAAATATTTCATAGTACAAATTGATCAAGTCCAATATTTAGTCAACAATTTTTTCCGACTAAACATTCTGCATGGCTTAGAAAGGATACCCTGTGCACTTCATTGCCAAAAGATGTATCCATAAATTAGTGCACAATCTTATCACTGATGCGTGAGTACATGGCTCTTCATATATTGAATTGGTTAATTTTCATATTCCAACTTTCTCTTGACGATTCTACAAAATCAGGGGAGACCTCGGCTCTGTAGATATGAATGGCTAACCATTAGAAAGAAGATCAAATTGGATAACAGTATTCAAAGAACAACGGTACCTAAATTAATCAACGAATAAGAAGTCAGAAAACTCTTCATACCCTCAGAAGCCTTATCATAAAAAAAATTCACCTTTGAGAAAGGCATCCACCAACTCCATGGCTACAAAGTAAGAGAGAGGCAACAGTATAAAGATGACAAGCAAAATCTTTCTTACAGTCCCCACCATTTCATGAACTCTTGCAAAGTTGAGCCTATATAAATAACCTGCGAAAATACAGTATGATCAACATGTGAAGATTATGATGCCAACTACCATCCGCAGCAGGAGAGTGATTCTCTTCGGAATTTTCATCAATTTCTTCATAAACGGGATACAAAAAAAAATCCATATACAAATTATGAACATGAATGAGATAGAAATTATGGCAAAGAAACTATAGCAACACAATGTATGCTTTGTGCCTAACAGCAGTGCTGGTGGATTTCAGTTGCCTAATTCTTAGTCCCTTTAACCTACATGTAACTAAAAAATTATCTATGAACTGAATTTTCTACAGATTTTCTTCCTTTTTTATTTTTCTGATTGAGTGATATGTTGACTCACCTAAACTAGGGTAGTCTGAATTAAGTTATCGACGCCTTAAGCCAGTACTAAGAGAAACTTAGATCAGTCACTAGCTAAGAGCAGAAGAGGGTTTCATGTGAGGATTATATGACAGCTCTGCTAATTTACAGTGACCTGACATAAGATGCTGCTCCAAAAGTTCATATCAAGCAACACTGATCAGAAAAAGGAAAAAAACTAACCTCAGTGTAGGTATTAAGTTGATTTCAAGCTTCCCCTTCCTTCTACTATGCTCTGATAAACAGAATGTTTTTTTAATTAATAAAATGTTAAGAATAAGAATCAGACATGCTAGTATGGAAGAGATCTCTTTAGCGAAATCCACTACCAAGAGTTCTTCTTGAAAGGTTTTGAGTCTTTTGACAAATATTAACATGTTAGTATATATGAATTGTATATTAAAGGTTATCCCCTCTTATATAAACTGAACAAGAGTCATAAAAGACTAAACCATCTAACTGGCCATTTTGACGAATGCTCTGGTTCTTCCAACATTTTCTCCAGTATCGAGAGTGGAACTTGAAATGAAAAATTTATCTACTCATTTTTATGGTAGCTAAAATGAGCACTGAATTTAGTTATAGAAACAAAGCCCCCAGCATGGGGATGCTATATCATATGTGCATAGTCAAAGTTTTCTCGATTGCCAATATGTATTATTTGTAACACCTTAAAATATCTCGTGCTACAATTAGGCAACTATGGTCACAAGCATTCAACAAACCAACAACCACTGAAGAATACTTCTACTCCTTTACATTGATGTATACTGTATAGTAGAGCACCCCCCCCCCCTCTAAACTCTAAAAACTAGCTGTTTGAGAGAGTCCAAAACTATGCCTCCCGTTACAAGGTAGATTTTAATTTTTTTCGTAGTTATGTTTGATAAAGTGCACATAACCTTATCAAATTTTGCACAGATGTTTGACGAGGTTATGTTTAAAAAACACGATGACACACAACAGTTCACATACACCTAAACCCCTGTCCCCACCCCAGCCGATACCCGCCAAAAGATAAGGAAAAAAGGAAAAAACAAACATATTCAAGCACACAAATACACAGACAGAGAGTGACACACAAAGAGAGGAATAAAAAGAAGTACACTGTAATTATATGGCATGTATCCCCTGTATCTGACATGTCACGAACCATTATGCTGCCATTTTTGGAATATTGAAGCCTTGTACATTTAGATGATGTAAATGCCATTTCAGGATCACTCATAAATTTTAGTCTCAACTCCAATGTAAGGGCATGCACAGAAAACAATTCCAGTCTAAAACTCTAGAGCGCGTCACCTTTAACTTTAAGTAAAATAGAATAGTATTACCTGAGAATTGATGATCCATAATAATTTAATGAGAGAGTGAAAGGATAATGAATGTGGGTAACTATAATGGGTTAGCAATAACCACATGACTATTAAGCATTATTAAGATGCTTTGGTTAGTAATAGCAGATTTATACTGATAAAGAGTTAATAACAAGGAGGAGTTTTCAAGAACTTCAGGGGAAAGCCTCACGGTCTGGTGGTCGGCGTACTATAGAAAACTAATGAATTTAATCTTTTAAAGATTTTTTCCTCCAACCAGCTTTAATTCTCCTTAGTCCTTGTTCTTCTTCCTTCATCTAGTTTACTGGTCCTACTTCTATCACATGATATCTGAGTCAACAATCCTTTGCGTTTGATTTTCATTATTCATGGACAATGAATTATGTACATGGCACATTTTAGCATTACCCTTGCCATCAATGAAGTAACGGCAGGTAGGTTTTCGCATTATGTCCATGGTATTCAGCATCGATCACGCAATTTCAAATAACATCTTACTGAATACTGTGGTTGATCTTCTATGAGTTATATTTGCCTGCACTCAACTCAAGTATTTCATATTTATCTCGAAGACTTCCTTCTGCTGAAAAAAAGGTTCAAACTTGAGGATTATTTTCGCTTTAGTACTTTAGAATGTTTTATTCTTTCCTAGTTTTTTATTTGTTTTCTTTTGTAGACTGAGATTCAGGGGATGTCTCTGATAAACACGTAAAATATGCATTATCTTAATATGTTTCATGCATGATTTATGGATGTTTGATGCATATTTTGTGTTTAGATCGAGGATATTGTTGTGGTTTGTGTTCTTATATGTAGGTATTGGCTCAAGATTTGAAAGATTCGATGATCGTTGGAAGATAAGCAAGAGTTTGAAGCAACAACCAGATTTAGGATGCATGGTTCGAGAAGAAAAATGGATGCACGAGTATGAAGACTGTCCAAATGAGCACAAATAAGCAAGACACCTTCTGCCATACCCTGATGTGGTGTGCTATGAAGCACGGACACGCATAACATGAAGCCGTGTCGTGTCGTGTCCGTGTCGGACACACGTGTCGAACACACGTATCCTATGTATTTTTTAGGATTTGCCTCGTGTCGGCGTGTCGGATGGCCGTGTCGGATCCGTGTCCGTGCTACATAGGTGGTGTGCATCACACCAGTGGACCGGCCCTGACAACATTTAGAAATAGATTCTGCCACACCCAGTGTGGCACGCACCACACCTGTGGGTCGGTGCTTATCTTTTTCCAGATTTTTTGGAGACCCATATATATGTATTTTAGCTTAGGGTTTCGAGACCCTTTTACTTTCTCTTAGCCATCAATTAGTATCTAATTTAGAGTTCAAGTATTGAAGGAAGACGAGGGATTTCTTGTACAAGATTGGATTGCAAGTCTTTATTTTGAAGATTTCAATTGAAAGACGGGTTAATTCTTTCCTCTCTTTAATTAATTTCTTCTTATGATTGATTTGCATGTTTACTTGATGTATTCTCTTATCCCAATCATGTGTGAGTATGTTCCTTGTCTAGGATCGGGAAAGAACCCAACTTTTTGGTAATTGATGATGAATTAATGTAGGTTCTTGGTGAAAGTTTAAATCTTTAAACTTAATTTCTTGTGAATTAATTTTGTTGATTCGCTTGAGTAGGTTCTTGGTGAAAGTTTAAATCTTTAAACTTAATTTCTTGTGAATTAATTTTGTTGATTCGCTTGATCACCGGATTAGCAATCATAGGTTCTTGTGAATTAATTTTGTTGATTCGCTTGATCACCGGATTAGCAATCATAGGTAATTAATTGAAGGACCGAAAGGTAAAAATTAATACCGAACCTCTAGAAATTAAGCAGGGAACTCGAACCACGAAAGTAGGCTAGATTCATTAGGGATTTGATTAGAATTAGCATAAAGGTTAATGAGTTTAATTTAATCTTGATTCCATAAAAATAGGTTAATCAAGTTTTTAGCGTTGTTGCCAGGGACTTACGGTGTTAATATTGAGTGCTTAGGTTATTAAGCTAGACTAGACTTTTTTTTATTCTCTTTGCTACTCACTTTCTTTTATGCAAAGACATTAATCGGAAGTACACGACAAGGACGATCTTGAACTGTCAGTGACTCTTGCAGACATAAGAAGATATATAAAAGAGCAAAGGAACACAGAACAAGCTACAATGGGTGATCAGAATCAGCTTCTTAAGGATTTCGCTGCCCTAAATGCTCAAGGCACGCACTCGAGTATTACAAGGCCCACTGTTGAAGCTAATAACTTTGAGCTGAAACCATCACTTCTCTCAATGGTTTGGAGTATGGCGACATTTTGAAGCTTAATGGAGTGACCAATGATACTATTCGACTCAGACTATTTTCGTTCTATTTAAAAGGCAAGGCTAGGGCTTGGTTGCATTTATTGCCAGCTAGGTCCATCACCACTTGGGATCAGTTGTCCAGGACGTTTCTTGCAAAGTATTTTCCCCCAAGTAAAACAGTACAGATGAGAAACCAGATCACAAGCTTTGTACAAAAAGAAGGAGAGCCACTCTATGAAGCTTGAGACCGTTACAAGGAATTATTAAGGATATGTCATCACCATGGACTGGAAAAATGGTTAATTGTTCACACCTTCTACAACGGGCTCACTTACAACACTCGGATAACTGTTGATGCTGCTGCAGAAGGAGTTTTGATGAACAAAACAATAGATGAGACATACACTCTCATTGAAGACATGACTCAGAATCACTATCAATGGGCGAACGAGAGTGCTCAGACATCAAAAGGTGGAAAGTATGACATAGATGCTTTAGATCATATATCCTTTAAAGTTGATGCTTTGTTTAAAAAAGTTAAAAGCTTGAGTATTAATTTTGTGGCGTCTACTTCAATTGCATGTGAGATATGTGGTTATGTGGGTCATTCTGCACTTGAATGTCAATTAGGAAACCCCCCATCCCTTGATACTTCTGGTAATGAACATGTTAACTATGTTAATAACTTTAATTAGATAGGAGACTCATTCTCCAACACTTATAATCCGGGGTGGAGGAATCATCCTAATTTATCTTATAGAAATCCACCTTTAAATCTCATGCCCGCATCTAATTTTGCTCCTCCTGGTTTTCGTACCCCTTAAACCAATCTCCCTTCTCAAAGGTCTAATTTGGAAAATATGATGAAAAAGTTTGTGATGACTCAATCGAAATTGAATTAAGAGTTTAAGCAACAACAACAAACCACGAATGACGTAGTAAAACAATTAGCCTCTAAGATGGATTTCCTAGCTACACATAACAAGATTCTAGAGATACAAATCACCCGATTGGCACAAAATGCTAGCTTTTCTTCTAGGCCTTCGGGCATGCTACCTGGACAACCCGAGACGAATCCCAAGGATCATGTGAATGCTATATCCCTTAGGAGTGGAAAACAATATGAGGGACCTAAGATGAAGGAAAATGATGGGGTAGATGATCATCATGAGGAAAAGGTGAAAAGGTGGTAGATGAGGATAATGAGACCCAAATGCAGGAAGAAGAAAAAGTTAAGAAATATGTGTCTCCCGCTCCTTACAAGCCTCCTCTACCCTTTCCCCAAAGGTTAGCTAATGCTAAGTTAGAAAAGCGATTCGGAAATTTTTTGGAGATTTTGAAAAAGTTGCACATCAATATCCCGTTCACTGAGGTTATTTCTCGAATGCCTTCTTATGCTAAGTTCTTGAAAGAGATCTTATCTAATAAAAGGAAGTTGGATGACTATGCAACTGTGGCCCTCACTGAGGAGTGTAGTGCTATCATCCAAAATAAGTTGTCTCCTAAACTTAAGGTCCAGGTTCATTTTCTATTCCTTGTGTTATTGATAATATCTCTATTAACCGTGCTTTGTGTGATTTGGGTGCAAGCGTAAGTCTGATGCCAATGTCTATCTGTAAGAAGCTTGGTATAGGTGATTTGAAGCCAACAACGATATCACTCCAGCTAGCAGATCGATCGGTAAAATATCCAGTAGGTATACTTGAAGATGTACCTATCCAGTTCGGTAAGTTCTTTATCACGGTTGATTTCGTTATTTTAAAAATAGAAAAAGATTCTAACATTCTAATTATATTAGGAAGACCCTTCCTTACTACTGTAGGTGCTATAATCGATGTTAAAAATGAAAAGCTCTCCCTAAATATTTGAGGGGAGAAGGTAGAATTTGATTTAAATAATGCTATGAAACTTTCTCTAACTAATAAAGTTTGTTACATGATTGACGTGATTGACAAGTTTACACATTAGCAACTTGTAAATCATTACTCAGCTGATCCACTTGAGAAATGTTTGGTAAGCGACGATTCAATAAATGATGAAGACCTTGAGGTAGCCACGTATGCTCAATCCTTAGAATCAACATTAACTGCTCCATTTCGAAATGCAAAGCTTGAAAATTTAATGTTAGAGCCAAAAAATTCTACTTGTGAAGAGGATAAAACACCAAATGTAGAATTAAAACCCCTCCCTTCCTCTTTAAGGTATGAATTTCTTGGCCCCAACTCTACTTATCCTGTGATTGTGAATGCATGTCTGAATGAAAATAAAACTGATAAGTTGCTTAAAATACTTAGGATGCATCACAAGGTCATAGGATACACCATGGACGATATTAAAGGAATCAACCAATTGATTTGCATACACAGAATTCTCTTGAAAGATGATCATAAACCCTCTATAGAGCACCAACGTAGATTAAATCCTAAGATGAAGGAAGTGGTTAAAAAAGAGGTGCTTAAGCTACTAGATGCTGGTGTAATCTATCATATTTCTGATAGTAAATGGGTTAGCCCGGTCATGTGGTTCAAAAAAAAGGGTGTGACCGTAGTCAAGAACCAAAATAATGAACTTATCCCTACTAGGACGGTTACAGGTTGGAGGATGTGTATTGATTATAGAAAGTTAAACAAGACAGCCCGAAAAGATCATTTTTCACTTCCTTTTATAGACCAGATATTGGAAAGGTTGACCACGCATTTTTATATTTGTTATTTAGATTGCTATTCGGGATTTTTTCCAAATCCCTATTCATCCTAGTGACCAGAAAAAGACCACTTTTACATGTTCCTATGGGACCTTTGCTTATAGGCGCATGTCTTTCGGTCTTTGTAATGTCCCTGCCACTTTTCAACGATACATGATGGCTATTTTCTCTGATTTTATAGAAGACATTATGGACGTATTTATGAATGACTTCTCCGTATATGGGACTATTTTTTATGATTGTTTAGCTAACTTGTCTCGAGTTTTGTAACGTTACGAAGAAGTTAATTTAGTCCTTAACTGGAAGAAATGTTATTTTATAGTAAAAGATGGAATAGTTCTAGGACACAAGGTGTCCGAGCGCGGAATTGAGGTTGATCGAGCAAAAGTGAAAATCATTGAAAAGTTAAAAAGTTTCTTGGGACATGCCGGTTTCTATCGACGTTTCAAAAATTACAAAACCTTTAACTAACATTCTTCTTAAAAATGCTCCCCTTGATTTCACATTTTCACAGATGAATGTCTTGATGCTTTTTGTAGGTTGAAGGAAGCATTGATAACAGCTCCTATTATGCAACCGTAGACTAGAATATCCCATTTGAAGTCATGACTGATGCAAGTGATTATGCGGTTAGTGCTGTGTTGGGCCAAAGGAAGAACAAAATAGTCCATACAATTTATTATGCTAATCGCACTCTTGATGAGGCCCAAGTTAACTATGCTACCACTAAAAAGGAGCTATTAGCAGCGGTCTTCGCCTTTAACAAGTTCCAGACTCCAGTCTTACCTAGTGGAGTCCAAAGTCATAGTTTATACCGACCACTCCGTCATCAAATATCTTTTTGAGCAAGCAAGATGCTAAGCCTAGGTTAATTCGATGGATACTACTTTTACAAAAGTTTGATCTAGAGATAAAGGACAAGAAAAGGACAGAAAATTTGGTCGCAGACCATTTGTCGAGGATGAGACAAGAATCACATGATAGAGAGGATGAACTATCGATTGACGACTCCTTCCCAAATGATTAGTTGTTAGCTATTGAAAGATTGAATGCACCATGGTATGCGGACTTCGTCAACTATATAGTGTGTGGAGTTTTGTCTCCGGATCTAAGCTATCAGCAGAAAAAAAGTTCTTTTCTAACTTGAAGTATTATTTCTGGGATGAACCGTTTCTATACAAACAGTGTATTGATGGGATGTCTAGAAGGTGTGTTCCTGAAGATGATGTTACAAATATTCTCCATCATTGCCATTCATCTTCTTACGGGGGACATGCAAGCACTTCAAAGACAGCTGCAAAAGTTCTACAATCAAGTTTCTATTGACCGAGTCTTTTTTGAGATGCAAAACAGTTTGTGACATCTTGTGATAGTTGTCAGAGGACTGGGAATATTTCGAAGCGACATGAGATGCCTTTACATTCCATCTTAGAATGTGTGGGGCATAGATTTCATGGGATCGTTTTCGCCATCGTGTAACAAGTTCATCTTAATGGTGGTGGATTACGTCTCCAAGTAGGTAGAAGCGATAGCATCCCCCACCAACGATGCTAAAGTAGTTGTGAAACTATTCAAAAACGTTATTTTTCCAAGGTTTGGGGTGCCACGGACGATAATCAGTGATGATGGTTCACACTTCATAGAAAGAAAATTCGAAGCTCTTTTAAGAAAGTATGAGATCACTCATAAGGTTGCCACGCCATACCATCCTCAAACTAGTGGTCAAGTGGAGGTTTCGAATCGTGAAATTAAGAGTATATTGGAGAAAACAGTTAATCGTTCGAGAAAGGACTGGTCTATGAAACCCCCGGATGTCTTATGGGCCTATCGAACTGCCTACAAAACACCCATAGACATGACATCTTTCAAGTTGGTATATAGCAAATCGTGTCATCTCCCAGTTGAATTAGAGCACAAGGCGTATTGCGCTATCAAACTGCTCAATTTTGATATGAAGACCGCAGGGGAGAAAAGAAAGCTTCAACTTCATGAGCTAGATGAGCAACGATTAGATTTCTATGAGAATGCTCGCATTTATAAAGAAAGGACTAAACGATGGCACGATAAGAATATCCTTCGAAGAGAGTTTACTCAAGGAGATATGGTACCACTTTTCAACTATCGTTTGAAGCTTTTTTCGGGCAAGCTCAAGTCTAGGTGGTTCGGACCTTTTCAAGTCTGTGAGGTCTTTCCTAGTGGAGTTGTTGAAGTTTGGAGTGAAACAACGGGATCTTTCAAGGTGAATAAGCAACGATTGAAGCACTACATTGTAGGGGAACAAAACGAGAAAGGAGTCACTTATACCTTATTTGATCCCCCTTCGCCAGAGAATTGAGCGCAATAGGGGTCGAGCTCATGACTATAAACGAGCGCTTCTTAGGAGGCAACCCAAGTTTTCCTCCATTCTCGTTCTTTTATTTTACCTTATTTTATTTTATTTTATTTTCGTTTATTATTTTTATAAGGCAATTGGATCGGCACAAATTTAACTTATAATACTTTCAATCATACAGTTGCGAAGAAGGGAAGACATGGCATTAGCTAAGGAATAAAAAAAATTCTTTGGGGTCGTATCTGCCACACCCAGGGGTGGTATCACCACACCCCTGACTCGATGGATATAAGAAAATCCAGATCCTACCACACCCAGGAGTGGTGTATGCCACACCCACGGCTCGCTGGAAAAAAAACACCAAGACTACCCCTTTTTCTTCTATCCTCTCTGACTTAACCAATCAAAACCCCCCCTCCCCAACTAATTCGACCCAGCAACCGATCAAATCGTCCCACCCCTATTTCGATTTCGTCGCTGAACACCAACACAATCTCACACCGCACAATAGCTAGTCGCCGCTTTCAACCGTCGTTCGACCTGCTATCAACTCCCGTTCGGTAGACTAAATGGGACCTAAACGCAAACGGACTAGTTAGGGAGCCTCAACTTCTACATCGCAACAACAAAGAGAGGTTCATGGCTTTCATCATTTTTGGTCGAGGCGAGAGCGATGGAGTCATGTATCAGAGAGAACTCTACCTCTTATGTGTCATGATCGAGGGACATAAGGTTGACACATGAGCTTTTATGATTCATCATGTATCGTGCAGCGAGAGCAACGAGTGAAAAAATTGTGTTTGGTGGCTTGATTACCACCTTAGCTTACGGGATGTGTTTAGGGGAGCTTGTAAAGGGACTTCATCACTTACGCCCTATTGCGTCCATTGACCTCGATGCTTATCTTCATATGAAAATGATTAGCCATAAGGGCAATCGATTATGGTTAAGTTTTCAGGACAATCTGCTCTTCCCACTCCCTGATCCTGATCGCACGACCATCCATGTTCACCCAAATTAGTGCTACCGCACATTTGATTTTGTGAATTGTGATTGTCACGAGGATGTGTCAGCTGAGGATGCTGCCACAGTACCCCCGATCCCTAATCCGGTTCAGTCTGACAGGGGAGATAGCTCTTCCCACCCCTCTGATTGGTCAGCGGAGTTTTTTGCTATCCATACTTCCCTTGCTTTCCTTACTAATCATGTAGGTGCTATCGAGCAAGCAAAAACGTCAAGGACAACTCTTGGGCTCTATGCACCACATGATGCAGTCTTTTCATGAGTGGCAGCTCGGCCAGGATGTCTTTGCTCCACCTTCTTCTGACTAGTGAGTTGGTATGTCCTCTGCACCCTTGCACTCATTTATATCATACTACATTAGGGACAATGTAGATCTTAAGCTTGGGGGTGTGAGTTGTTTATGTATTGATTGCTTGTCTATAATTGCATGTTTTTCTTTTATTTTTTTCTTTGCTTGTTTCCTTTCTTTAAAAAAAATTATTATTAAAAAAATTTGGGAAATGATCTCCTGATGATGACAATAATCTTTAACCTCTATAAATCATTGAACTAGATAGATGCCCATTACTCAGGACTTGACAACTTTTCAAACCACCTTTCAACTGATTATCAAAGATTTTTGATTGCAAGTTAACAATATGGGAGAACAAGAATTGAATGTTCTCTTGTCTTATAGGATTTTGCATTTTTATGGCTAGCATCATAACCATTACTCTATTTTGAGACAAGAGGGGAATTAAATTTGGTAGACAAATAAAACTGATGAGACCTTGAGCCTGAAATTGGATGCATTACATATCCGGGAATTAAATTTGGTAGACAAATAAAACTGATGAGACCTTGAGCCTGAAATTGGATGCATTACATATCCAATCATGATTTTCTTTTCTTGTGTGATATTCTTGAGCCTGAAATTGGATGCATTACATATCCAATCATGATTTTCTTTTCTTGTGTGATATTCTCCAATGGTGTAGGATACTAGAACTTGCATTGAATCTCTTCGATGCCATATATAACTTTTGTATGCATAAAAGGTGATTTAGGCACATGTATTTTTTTGTTCATAGTCCACATTAGCCAAACAGCCTACCATGCGCTATTTTTTCCTTTGATTTGCTCCTTTGAGCCTATGAGCCTAATTTTTATTGATTTAACTCACATATGTAACATTTAAATCCAATTGTATTCCTTACCCATGCCTAAGCTAGTGGAGCACAATTTCTGATATAATGGGTTATATGAGTAATGAGGTGTAAGCTTGGGGGTATGAAAGGAGGTGTTTGTTTCTTTTTCATTTTTATTTAATTCAAAAAAAGAGGAGATGAATAAATTGTCCTTTTTATGGTGTATGTAATTGCGGGTGTCGAAAGAATTCATTATGGTGTACTAAAGGGAGTCATTAGAAGAAGTTCTTTGATGGATGATGGAGTTTGTGTGGATGTCATTGATCTTACTTTGAGATCTAATCTTTTACAATTATTGCTCCACTAGTGATAGGTTTTCAACTACTATCCCAAATATCTATCCTACCCTTTTGACCCTAGCCCCGATACAACCAAATAAAAGACCTCATGATTTTTTTGCATGCATTAGTTTCGAAGTGGTAGAAAATTGAGATGAGATGCAAGCCTATGGATTGAATACATCCATTCAGACGAATTTTGAGCGACATAATTCTATCCTTAAACACATGAGAGATTGAGAGTCCCCATACCCTAAAGCAATGTCTACCAATTTAACTACCTGAAGGTCTTAATTTTACTACTTCTGGATTAAAGCTAGTTACATGTACTTTTTCCTACTTTGATTTGAGAATTGGATAGGATAGATATCATTGACTTGTGACGCTTGTGATCGTAAGTAAAATTTAAAATGTAATTTTGTTGAGAGTTTTGGAAATTACTTTGTTAAGTCCTGATGAAACGTGTATGTCTTATTATATGTTTGATATTTGTTAAAGGATTGACGAGGGGGTGATCCCTACTCTATTTGGCTTCCACTCCTATTTTTTTATTGTTTATTTTCTTGAGGACAAACAAAAGTCTAAGCTTGGGGGAATTAATAAACATGTAAAATATGCATTATCTTAATGTGTTTCAAGCATGATTTACGGATGTTTAATGCATATTTCGTGCTTAGATCAAGGATATTGTTGTGATTTGTGTTCTTATATGTAGGTATTGGCTCAAGATTTGAAAGATTCGATGATCGTTGGAAGATAAGCAAGAGATTAAAGCAACAACTAAATTTAGAATGCATGGTTCGAGAAGAAAATGGATGCACGAATATGAAGACTGTCCAAACGAGCAAAAATAAGCAAGACAGTTTCTGCCACACCCTGGTGTGGTGTGCATCACACTAGTAGACTGACCCTGACAACATTTAGAAGACAGATTCTGCCACACTCGGTGTGACACGCACCACACCTATGGTTCGATCCTTATCTTTTTTTAGATTTTTTGGAGACCTATATATAGGTATTTTAGCTTAGGGTTTGTAGGTTGTCTAAAAATCACTGTAGATAGCTGATCCCCATCAAACACGGATGATGAAAGTTATAATTTGACGGTTTTCAAAAGGTTACAATTTAAAGACTTTCACGTAGATCGATGAAGATTACAATCTGACAACCTTCTCAATAACTAATGAAAGTTCTAATCAACAGCCTTCACAATCAACATTGGGAGGTACAATCTGATGATTTTTATATTTTTAAAGAGCCAAGACGAAAATTACAAGATGACGGTCTTTGCAACGTTCTAGCAAAAGAGACTACAAATTCACGATCTCTTTAAATCCAGACGCAGAGCTCATCTCTGCGTCCCAGATTCAAAACGCAGAGCTTGTGGCCGCGTTCCAAACTCCCAGAAGCGAAACACAGAACCCGTAGCTGTGTTCCAGAACGAGACGCAAAGCTCAAGAGCTGCATTCCAACTTCAAAACGCAAGAGCTAACCTCTGCGTCCCAGATTCAAAATGCAGCGCGACCTTTGCGTTCTCAGCTGCCAACGCAGGTCCTAACTCTGCGTTTCAATCCCAGAACGCAGTGTTCGTGCTCAGAACGCAGATTGTGCGTTTGACTCGTTCAAATACGAGTTAAACAGTTCTAAAACCGTTCTCCATGATTTTAGGGGGGATTACCCCCTTAAACCACTTGAACGGTTTCAAAACCGTTTTCCATGAAATGATGTCGGTTACACCCTATTAAGGAGAGATTTTAGGGGGTGGTTACACCCCTAAAAAACCCTATAAATGGCGAAAAACTCAACTTGCAATTTTAATCCCTTTTATTTTACTCGTTGGTTTAGCTAGTCGAAAACGTGAAATTTGGTAATTAACCCCTAGTCCAATAAACCCCTAGTCCCTATGAGATCGACCTTGATAGCTACAACAAATCCGTGCACTTGCGGATTTGCTTATTAGTCTCACAAACAAGATAGTTAGATACAACCTCAATCAAATCCCCACCATCATTGCACATGATCCTGTTATAATAATCCTAGGAAGTAACAGGTCTCTGTTACTTTCAGTTACTTTCAAGCAGTTGATACTGATATTTGAAAATGGTTGGTTTCTATATCTTTTTTCTTCTTATCTCCACATCATGTCTTCTTTTTCATTTAATATTTTTAATAATCCACGTACTCTTCAGTTGCAGAAAATTAATTTCATAAATTACTACCAATTTCTTCTTCATGGATTTATATTAACTTATTTTCATGCATGAAACTAAGAAAATTAATCAAACGAATGATCTAGTTACTCATTCACCCTACATTAATTCCAAGACACAAGGATTCCGTTGTAGCTTACTTGAGTAAACACATATTAGTGGTGTAAGGCCACCGGTTAAGTTGCAAAGAAGAAATGACATGGATCCCCTCTTTGCCCTCGGCAATCACAGCCCAAGTATCACTGAGAAAATTCAATTTGCTAGCTCATTGAGAAAAATTCAACAAAGGAAACGATTCATTCCGC